GCCCGCCCGCCCGCAGCTCGCCCGTCCGCCCGCAACCCGGCCGCCTACCCGCCCGACGCCCGCCAAAATCGCCTGCTCACCCACACGCCTGCGATGTAACCGACATATGTCTGTTTACTCACTGACTCTATCCACGATTTAACTAAACAATCCGCCTGCCTTGTCTCCCAAAAAAAAACCTTCCCATCAGACAAATTCCCCAATTCATTGTCTTAAGAACTACCATTTGCCAAGCTACCAGTCATTCACCTGGCTTCTTACCAATGCATCACCAACTAACCCACCTATCCACTAACCCGTTCAAACTTTCTCCAACCAACCAACCCAATCGCGCACTTCTCCAACTCTCCACTCTCATCCTCCTACCATTCTCTCCACCACCAAAGCTACCAAGTAATGAATTGACCAAGTTTCTCTCCTCCCGTCCAAGTAACCACACGACATTCATCCTAAAAAGAAACCAATCAGCCAACTAACCCTCCCACCCTACCTTCTCCACCGAACAAACCAACCCACTCAGCCAACATCAACTCACCCACCCATACTTTTTCACGTAACCACCCACTGACAACTCATCCACTCCTCGATTCACCTTGTTTATTTCATCAACTGCCATTCCAACCCACCCGCTTTCTCATCAACTTACCCACCCACTCATCCAGCCGTCCACTCGATCGCCTGCATCCCGTTCTCCGACCCGTCGAAAGTCTCTTGCGCCGCATCTAGATCTTCCCTGGCCATTACGCCGTGGCCCTGCTCTCCTTTTCTCTCGATCGCCGTGCCACCGTCTGTCATGTCGATGCACATAACGCACGTGTATTAATAGTTTTTACAAGCACGTTTCCTCTTTCTTCCTCACATTTTTCTCCGCGTATGTACTAATAATATTACGTCATATATATGAGCCAAATCCATACAGACCTTAACACACCTACACATTTTTCCATGCACCAAACCACAATATATGTAGGGAGAACAGTCGAGAATTTTGAACTTGCCCTATCTAGTGCGGACACCGCTGGCAGAGATACATCAGGGAAAATCCCCTGCCAGCCGACCTGCAATCTGACTCCGATCCTTACTCTTCCCATTCAGAGCAAGAATTCCCTTACCATTCAGAGCAGGAATGCCGCCTCCTCCTGGGATAACATTCATGACACTAACGAGACTATTAAAGCTTGGAAAACTATTAAAAATATGACCGCTTCAGTGTTACGCTCAAACTCGTGTTTAGTGCAAGTACAAACGGGCGCCGCTACCAACGGCTCCCCATACTTTGAACGGTGTTGTTGGATTTTTTGAGTGAAACAGTATTTTTTATAGTGCTTAACACAATATATTAGTCGACAGTGAAAGTGTAGTGCTGCAGCGAAAGCTGTATGTTCCTAACAAGTCCCCCCGCGCTGGGGGGTGTACTAGTGTCAGCAGCTCACGTGCTAAATGATGACGCACCAAATCAGTTCACAGCAATGAATGGAGATGTGCTTCCATTTCCACCCCAAATGGAAAATATTCAACCCCTGGAACAATTCAACACGGTTCACAAACGCCCGCCCACAGCAGGCTGGGAAACGCCAGGGACTTCTGACAACCTTCAGTCAGTAGCACTAAAGATTGCTTATTTTAACAGGTATGTTGTTGTCCTAACGCAATCAGTTAGTCAACTAGTGGTTTTAACGAAGACAGTAAAAGTCTAAAACGCATGCACGTAGATCTGCCAGATGAAAACAATGCTTCTAAGAAGAATATTGTGCAACGTGCCCGTCAAAAAATAAGGTGGTAAGGTTTTCAAAAATATGACCGAAGAAAATATACGCCAAACGAAGGGGAAGACATGTGAAGAAATTCATCATTAAAATACCCCCTCCCTTTTATGTCCATAAAGGTACTCGACTATCACCTATTTCATCAGTGAACTAAAAGCTATTACAAAAGACAATTTTCTACTAAATTAAAAGAATAAAAGCCCTATTAAAATTAAATTTCAACTCAATAGAGGATGTAGAGAATGTCGAAAATCTGCTGAAAAAAGAGAAAATCGAGCATCACACATACAGGGACGGCCTACCCAAAAAACTTTTTCGGGGGTTGTAATAAAAGATCTGCAATTACCTATTCACAAGAGGAAATATATACACGACTTTCGAAAAACTTTCATAGTAATTAAAAGTCGTTAAGATCTGTTTGGAGAGAACGTAAAACCATTAACTACGGTCGCGGTCGTTTAAGCGGCATAATGAACAATAACAAGCAAATTTTAAGAATAAAATACTTTATATACAGCATTGTTCAGAGTTCAAATTCGCTAAAGTCTAAAACTCCCATGCAATGTGCAAAAATTGTCTCAGTACTTTTCGTCATTCACGAGGCAAATTGTCGGAAGACGGACTAGATGTGTAAGATGCTTAGAAAGCATCATTTACTCCGCAATTGTTGATAAACGCTAAACACAAATAAGTACCAAAGTGTGTTAACTTGCAGTGGGGAGCACACGGCTAACTATAAAGGCTGCAAAGCTTACAAAGAGCCAGTTAAAAAATATAATTTGAAATCAGGTTAATCAAAATTTTACAGCTCACAAATGCAAATAGGCATTTCTCTAATCACCACTAAATCAGAACAGCAACCTTATCAAGCATGCCCTCAAAGTTTTCCTCTCTGCCGCTTAATTCACGGCCTTGCCTACTTTCCTTATCGCACTAGTCAGCCGCCCTATCAGATACAGGATTCTCCCCCAGTTCCTCCAAAATATGAATATAATAAACGAAAACCGATTACAAACAATTATAAATAATATTCTTCTGGCAATCATCCTCATTGCAACAAATGGTTCAAGACTTTATTCCTGTTCCTATCAATGGGCCCAAAATAAAATAGAAAACTTCATAAATTCTCAACTGGAATGCAAATGGCGTAGAAAAAGCGCAAAGAGAAGCGAACTAAGAATACTTTCTACAAGAGTCCATGACATAGATTGTTGCTTGTATTTTTCAGAAACACATTTAAAGCCGGTAGATAAATTTTTCGATCCCAAAATTATTATCAGTATCTAGTGATCGAATTTCTCAACAATCGCATCATGGTGGAGGTAGCATTCTCATCAATAGGAAAATTAAAACATACACTGATACAATCACCCATCCTCAAAATGACATAGAAACAATTATTATTCAAAATCGAACTGATAAAATATTCAAACAGATGATAACAGATTTTTCACCATGCTTCCGGACGTGTACAAGTGCACAAACATTTAATCTAGGCAAAAATGCGTCCATTCCAACCCGCATTATTTCTGATACCCCCAAAGCCTCTCTCTAAACCACCTAAATTAGGAATAATTAAAGGTTGAAATAATGATAATAGTAGGTAATAATAGTAATAATAATAATAATAATAAATAATATAATAATAATAATAAATAATAATAATAATATAATAATAATAATAATAAACCAAATTAACATGAATTTCTCTCAATTACTGCTCTGCAGACTTGTTTATGAGGTAGCCGTGTGGCCCTCCTCAACATACTGTTAGCCGAAAGGCCTAAATTATGTAATATTATCAATTGTAAATTAAACACCCTGAAAGGCATATTATGTCGACAGGGCAGAAAAATAAATTTAAAAAAAAATATGAGGAAAGAATTGTCCAGAAGTAAATTACATTATAATAAACTCTTACAAATTGATTTATAAAAAGGAAAATTTATTGGGCAATAAAAAGAAATGAAATCAAATGATTTGAAATGCACACAATCCGGCAAATTTTGGGGAACCTGAAGCAGTTGGTTTGGCTTTAAAAGGTCTTTGGTGAAAAGCTAAAAACCATAAACATTCAATTTAAATGGTTAACCTTAAATGAGCTTTTTCAGTACGGGGTTAATAGTAACTCTTTTAATACTCGCAAACCTTTTTAACAAAATGAAGTTTATGGCAATTAATTCCACAAGAATGGAATATGTCGTATATCAGTTCTACTCATGAAGAAAGGCAACAAATTTGACGAAACCCTTTAGATAACTACAGAGAAATTAGTGTAATCCCTAAATATTTACACTATTTTCTAGTATCTAAACAGAACAAAATACATAACGCGAATAATATACAGCGAAGAACAAAGCGGATTCAGAAGTTGGGAGGTCACGTTTAGATAGCATCCTTGCTTTTACGCATGATACTGTGAGAAAACTAAGTATAAGAATATTAACCATACACATGACATTTATTGACCTAGATAAGGCCGATGACGGTATTCTTATGTGTAACATTTGGCTCAGCGATGAGCGACTGAATGATCCTGAAAAAGTATGAATTTGGTTAAAAAAGTACCACAATACTGAAGCGTGTATCAAAACGAGAGAGAACATTACCCAAATTTGTAAAACTAACAAATTGTTTGAAACAGTGGTGTAGTTTGCCGGTCCGGTTGGCCGAGATCGCTAAGGTATAGTGCCTAGCGAATTCCGACCGAAGAGTCGCGGTTCGAGTCCGCGCCTCCGCATGGCTGTATTGACTTCGTCCCTTTCGCACTTATCATGCATCGTCATCCTTGTGGTTACAGCAGCCGTTACACCGCAAGCGCGTCGCTTAAAGACTTAGTAGTTTGATACCGACCTTAAATAACAAAACAGGATTTGGTTTTAATTCCACTTCTATTTAATATACAGCAGAACTAAGTTTTAGAAACTTTATACACGAATATTCTCAAATGGGTGTTCTCAATAAATGATAAGAACTTACAATTTTCCAACTTCGTGGCCGATGATAGGTCCATTTTGACATCAGATCGGGAAAGATGTGGAGTTTAATGGCTTTAAGGACATTAAAAGGGAATTGCCGACTTACAATCAACCTTAAATGACCAAACATTTATGTACGTAGGAGAAATTGTCTCTCTATTAAAGTTGCCTGATGACGAAATAGCTAACTGATCAAAATTTAAATTATCTGGGGACTATTATTAGGGACGAGGGAAAATTGATAAAATATCACCCCTATTATCCAATGAGCAAGAAAACGCAGTCAAGAGCTATACATGTCCTTAATGTATGGAAGGAATATGTTAGGACAAGACAGCAAGATATAGAATGATTTTCACAAGTGTAGTGAAAAATATATATTATACGTATGCAAAAATGTGGTATTTAACTAATCGCCGCAGAGACAGAATACTTTCAGTAGAGCTCGACTCTATGAAGACCCTGGCTGATCACAAGATAACGTGTTGGTAAGGAACGAACATAGTAGATAAGAAGGCTGGGTTTCAAATCAACCAAACCCAGATGGCTAACAAATAAAGTTTCGTTCAAATGATATTGAATAGGTTCAGGCAGGACAAATGGCAAATGGCTTTAAAAGAAATTTTAAATTGGCTACTGAAAAAAGGGCTAGAAGAGCCAGACATGTTTTTGATCTAGAAAGCCTATATACAGAAAAACTGAATG